CAGTGGAGTTCCGTCCCAGGCAGATCGGGGAGGGGTGGGGGGGGCGCAAAGGGAATGTGGGCGATGCGTGGATGGAGGGGGAGGTGCATTTGACCCCTTCGTTCCTGTCAGTTTGGTGCAGTGGTGAAGTGCACGGACTCTAATCTGGGATAACCGGGTTTGATTCCCCACCCCTCCACTTGCACCTGGCTGGATGGTCGTGGGCAAGCCTTAGTTCTGATAAGAGCTGTCCTTGGAAAAGAGCAGTTTCTGTCAAGAGCTCTCTCAGCCCCGCCTGCCTCACAGGGGGTCTGTTGTGGGGAGGGGAAGGGAAAAGGAGACTGTGAGCCGCTCTGAGACTCCCTTGGGTAGTAAAGGGCGGTGTATAAATCCATCCTCCTCCTCCTCCTCCTCCTCCTCCTCTTCTTCTTCTCTTCCAGGGCGCACAAGGCAAACCAGGGGCCACGGGTCAGGCTGGCCCCCCGGGACCACTGGTGAGTTTGCGGGGTGTTCTCGCTCTCTTTTGGGGGTGGGAGGGTTGTGGGCCAAGGAGCCGGCATAAATGTTTCCCTGGTGGCGTCTCTCCCTGCAGGGCCCTCCCGGTTTGCCTGGACTGAGAGGCGACTCTGGACCCAAAGGAGAGAAGGTGAGCCCGGCTTTCCTGCCCTGCAGAACTTAGCCCTGGGGCCAGTTTCGGGACTGTTAAATACTGGGTTCTGGATGCATTGTATTGATCATCTGTAGTTTATTCAGTGATTTCAGGAACACAAGGACACCCAGCTGGGTTTGAGCCCTGCTTACAAAACATGCAAACACCACATACACTCGACTCCCAATGATAGGCTATTTACATTACACTACTTATCTATAGGTCAGTTCCAGGATCCTGGTCAGCTGCCCTGCAGAACTTAGCCCTGGGGCCAGTTTCGGGACTGTTAAATACTGGGTTCTGGATGCATTGTATTGATCATCTGTAGTTTATTCAGTGATTTCAGGAACACAAGGACACCCAGCTGGGTTTGAGCCCTGCTTACAAAACATGCAAACACCACATACACTCGACTCCCAATGATAGGCTATTTACATTACACTACTTCAAGCTCACCCATTCCAAGGATCCTGGTCAGCTATTGTTCTTGGGGAGCAAGCTCACCCATTCCAAGGATCCTGGTCAGCTATTGTTCTTGGGGAGCTAGCTCACCCAGTTCAAATAGAATCGTAGAATCACAGAATGTTAGAGTTGGAAGGGACCTCGCAGGTCATCTAGTCCGACCCCCTGCACTCTGCAGGAGAATTGCCGAAAGGTAGCCCTACAACATACCCGAAAGATGGTCACCTGGGCTCCGTTTGAAAACGTCCAGCGAAGGAGCATCCACCACCTCCCGAGGGGCAGTCCGTCCCACTGCTCAACCACTCTGACAGTTAGGAAGTTCCTCCTGATATTTAGCAGGTAACGACTCCCATGTCATTTCCACCCACTAGATCTCGTCTTGGGGATGTGTTGTTCCTTTCAGGTTCTTAACCTGTCTGCGTAACCATTGCATTGTCTTGTTTTGAATAGTATATCTAAACAGGGCTCTTTTGGTAGAAAAAGCCCAACAGGAGCTCATTAGCATAACAGGCCACACCCAACAGCAGAAACGTATTAGCATGTTAGGCCACACCCCTGACAGCACAGCTCATTAGCCTATTAGGCCACACCTCCATGTTACCAGAAGTGTGGTTATCCAGCCACACCCACCTTTTGCTTCTTATTCTGTTTACCTTGTTTGTTGTCAAAACCCAGGGCCTTTTTTTGTAGCAGGAACTCCTTAGCATGTTAGGCCACACACCCCTAATGTAGCCAATTATAATTAGTTCCTGCTGTTGGGTGTGGCCTATTATGCTAATGAGTTCCTGCTGGGCGTGGCCAACTCGGGAGCCAGCCGGAACTCCGTTCCTGTGCGTTCCTGCCCCAAAATAGCCCTGTATCTAAATAAGAACCATTATGAGGGTTGCTTAGGAACTGGACTACTTTGGAGCATTATCTGATGCTAAGTTTCACATGGTGTCCTTCCGCAGGGGCACCCTGGTCTCATTGGCCTGATCGGACCCCCGGGAGAGCAGGGAGAGAAGGGAGACCGGGGGCTACCTGGCCCCCAAGGCAACAAGGGGCCAAAAGGAGAGACCGTGAGTACGGAGATCGGGGGTGGGTGGGGGTGGGAGTGGTCTTGCATTGAGGGTCTCCCACCTGGGTTTCTGTGCCTACCATTGTGCCTCCGCTGCCTTGGCCTTCTGCTTATGTTCGGTCCTTTTCCTGCATCGTCTATGGGGTGTCGTGCCTTAGGATTTTGTCCCCTGTGTCGTCTTCTGATTTTGTAACCCAGATCCTGTTGCGTTGCTGATTGGGCGTCTCCGTTTGATTCTATCATTTCTCTGTTTTGTAATCTCCCTCGGGTGCTGCGGTGGCTCATGGGGTTAAGCCGCTGAACTGCAGACCGGAAGGTCGGTAGTTCAGCGGTTCGAAACCCGAGTGTGCCGCGTGACGGAGTGAGCTCCCGTCTCCGGCCCCGGCTCCTGCCAACCGAGCAGTACGAAAGCAAGAAATTACAAGTGGATGAATAGGTACTGCTTCGGTGGGAAGGAAACAGCGTTCCGTGCGCCTCGGTGTCTAGTCACGCCGGCCACATGACCACGGAGACGTCTTCGGACAGCGCTGGCTCTTCGGCTTGGAGACGGAGATGAGCACCACACCCTAGAGTCAGAATCGACTGGCTTTTGAGCAAGGGAACCTTTACCTTAATCTCCCTTGAGGCCTCGGTGAGAAAGATGGACTAGGAAGGAAGGGACCAAATTAGTTAATAACTGCAATGCACCCCCAAGTTTGGCGCAGCCAGAAGGGAGACTATTCGCTGGACTGGAGGAGTCGGGGGAGGAAGAGCGAGAGAGAAAATTCTGCTGTCCCAGTATGGACAATGAAAAGACTGTGGACAATCCACAATTGGTTCCCAGCCTATTTTAAAATATGATTAAAAATCAAGCCAATAATCTTTTTAGGAGCATAGGAGAGCCAGTGTGGTCCAGTGGTTAAGAGCGGCGGACTCTAATCTGGGAGAACCGGGTTTGATTCCCCACTCCTCCACATGCAGCCAGCTGGGTGACCTTGGGTCAGTCACAAGTTCTCTCAGAGCTGTTCTCTTAAGGGCAGTTCTCGAAAGAGCTCTCTCAGCCCCACCTACCTCACAGGATGTCTCCCCCCCAGTGACCCCTGCTTCGTGCCCACCGAAAACAGGGAAAAAAAAAAAAACAAAAAAAAAAACCCACCCAGGATCTCCGGCCAAACTGGCCTGGAGAAAAGTTGCTTCCTGACCCCAAAGGTGGCGCTCAGCATTTCCCTGGGCGTGTAAGAAAGGGCCACGAGAACTAAGCACTGAGGCAACCCTTCCTGCCCTCCCTTCTCGTCATTTGCCCAAGTTCCCAGAATCTGCCTTGCTGTCAGATGGCCATCTAGCCTCTGTCTGAAAACCGCCCACCAAGGCTCCCTCTAAGCTGTGGAATCCTGTGAGCTGAAATTCTACTTTGTGAGCGACCGGCAAGAAAGTTGTGAGTGAACAATTTGGCCACTTCATCAGTTAGTTTGCTCTGGAGCCACTCTTCCTGAGCTGAGACAAAGCTGTGTGAGCCGGAGGCTAAAAAACTATGAGCTGACTCACACTAACTCAGCTTAGAGGGAACCCTGGAGCCCACCCACCTCCCGAGGAAGCCTGTTCCACTCAGGAACCGCTCGAACTGTCAGGGAGTTCTTCCTCATGTTTAGCCGAAAACTCTTCTGATTTAATTTCAACCCCTGTTGGTTCCGGGCCGACCTTCTGGGGAAACAGAAAAGAACTCCGCACCATCCTCTATAGGACAGCCCTTCAAGTACTTGAAGAGGGTTTTCATATCCTCTCTCAGTCGTCTCCTCTCCAGGCTAAACATACCATTTAAGGTTGGAGCGTGACTGTGGGTGGGGTGGTGGTGGGGATTGGATCCATCCCACTGTTTGCGGGGCAGCAGTGAATGGAGAGGAAAACTGTGTGGCTCATTGGATGGTTCGAGACCGGAGCCGCTTAGAGGGCCTGGATCCCTGGCTCGCCTTCATATGGATTGGAAAGGGGGCGCCGCCCCCTGCCGCCCCCTCTGGCTCACCGCCTCTCTCTGCTCTTTTCCCGCAGGGCATTCCGGGCCCAACTGGCCCCCTCGGCCCAGGAGGGCCCCCCGGACTTCCAGTGAGTGGCCCCCCAACATCCTCTTTACCCCACTTCCTCTCCCTTTCCCCACTTCTGGAGTTTGACTCCTCGCTGATGCTTTCTCTTCCCTCCCTCAGGGTCCAGCTGGCCCCCCAGGTCCCAAAGGAGCCACGGTAAGAGTGTTGCTCCCTCAACACATTCTTTGGGGGGCTGGGAGAACCTGCCCCTCTTCCCACGGGCCGCTCACATCTCGGGCTTCTCTTTCTAGGGTCAAGCAGGTCCCAAAGGTCAGCGTGGATTTCCTGGACCCCCCGGACACCCGGTACGCCCCTCCTCCCTCCAACACCCCTCTCCCTCCCCTATCTCGGTGCCGTCTTTGTCCCCACCCCACCCCGGTTGCTTTCGATGGAAATGAGCCCAGAGAAGGAATTGTCTCCACTTTTTACCCTTTATAAATATTTTAGCCTTTATTCTCCCTGTTCAATTATTATGTTTACAACGTTCGCCGGACTTCTAAAGCGGGTATATAGCTACGGATATAATCAGGGAACAGATATCAAGAGATTCACTCCAGTGCCATGGAAATTTGGATTTGAGGCGGAGGTTTTCAGAAGGAGGCCGCCCCTAAAAGTGAATTTCCTAATGACTTCCCGTTCGTGGGATGGGCGGGATATAATACAAGTAACAAAATTATTAAATACTGGGTTCGGAGCTACACATTGCCGTGAACAGCTCTGCTTTATTAAGTGATTTCAGGAACAAGGCTAGAAACCTCAGGGCAGCAGCCCTGTTTAAATAGCCTGCAGAAACCACACCCAAACACACCCAACTCCCAACGATAGGCTATTTACATAGTAGAAGTTTCTCATTGGTCACTTCCAGAGTCCTGGTGGGCTATTGTTCTAGAGCTCCAAGCTCAGCCCGTCTCTGGTAGAAACAGTCCTGGGATGTTCCAGCCCTGATACATAACAGAAATAGAAAATAAATTTTAGCTGGGGGCTAAAGAACTGTGAGCTAGCTCACACTCACTCAGCTTAGAGGCAACACTGCTCTGGAGCCATCTTTCCTGAGCGAAGACCAAAATGTGTGCGCTGGAGGCTAAAGAACTGTGAGCTGGCTCACACTCACTCGGCTTAGAGGGAACACTACTTGCAACTGAAATCTTGATGGAGGAAGAGGGGCAAAGGGGGGAGGTGGGAGGTGGGGCCAACACAGATGTGGGGGAGGGGAGAACGTGGACAGATGCAGTTTTGTAGCCGGGGTGGAGGGGGGGGTGCCCCCAGCCCCCAGGTGACGGTTCAGAGAAGGGGCCTCGCAGCAGCTCCACTTGGACACTGGCAACCCCCCCTTCCACCTTCCACAGGGCCCCCCTGGCGAAGTGATCCAGCCGCTGCCCATCCAGAGGCCCAAGAAGAACAAGCGGTCCATAGACGCCAGCCAGCTCCTCCCGGAGGTGGAGGAGGCGATGGCCTCCGATACGGCCGGCCGATCGCCCTCGGAGGGCATGGAGGAGATCTACGGCTCCCTCAACTCCCTGCGGCAGGAAATCGAGCAGATGAGGAAGCCCCTGGGCACCCCGGAGAGCCCCGGCCGCACCTGCCAAGACCTGCAGCTCTGCCACCCGGACCTGCCCGATGGTGGGTGAGGCGGGGAGGCCGGACCGGGCCTGGCGGGAGGGGTTGGTGGGAAGAGTTCCGGGCGGCGGCTGTGGCAGATGTTGGATTCTCTGCTTTTAGCACAGCCGGGGATCACTGCCATAGACTCATGAAATCATAACCACCTGGACGACCACCTTTCGGGTATGTGGCAGGGCTGTCTTTCGGCTGTGCTCCTGCAGAGTGCAGGGGGGTTGGACTAGATGACCTGCAGGGTCCCTTCCGACTCTTAACATTCTATCTGTAGTGTTGGAAGGGACCTCCAGGGTCATCTAGTCCAACCCCCTGCACGATGCAGGAAATTCTCAAATACCTCCCCCACACACCCACACCGCACTGACTGCTGTTCCATGCCTAGAAGATGACAAAAAAAAAACCCTGCAGGTTCTCCAGCCAAACTGTAGCAGAATCGCCAGCCAAAATGTAGCTGAGTGCACAAGAAGAAGAAGAAGTGATTAGATTTATACCCCGCCCTTTACTACCCGAAGGAGTCTCGGAGCCGCTTACGATCCCCTGTCCCTTCCCCTCCCCACAACCCTGTGAGGTAGGTGGGGTTGAGAGAGCTCTTTTGAGCACGGCCCTTGAGAGAACAGCTCTGAGAGACCTCGTGACTAGCCCAAGGTCACACCAGCAGCTGCATGCGGAGGAGTGGGGAATCAAACCCAGGTCCTCCCAGATTAGAGTTTGCGCTCCTAACTACTAACTACTGGACGACCATCTTTCGGGTATGTTGTAGGTATGTAGGGCTATCTTTCGGCTCTGCTCCTGCAGAGTGCAGGAGGTTGGACTAGATGACCTGCAAGGTCCCTTCCAACTCTACCATTCTATGATTCTATGATTCATACTGACTCTCACACCTAACTGGCTCTCAAGGTTATTTCCACACAGAAGCGTTGGTGCTGAGTGTGCCAGCAGACTTACAAAGCTACACAGAGCCAGTGGTCATATTTACAACTAATAAGAGTTCTTTATTATACGGAACTCCATTCTAGACTGTGTAGGTGAGAGACGAGAGAGAATCTAATGTATCTAATGACGATGAGGGTGGATGCAGGGGAAACATGCCCTGCATCCATTGCTCTAAAGATGGAGAGCAAAGTCACCCTTCTTTGCGTGTGTGTGAGGAAGTGGGAGAGTGAGGTGTCAAGGAAACGCATCCCTAAGAACAGCATTCTACTTCAAAAGGAATAGGATCAGATAGCAAGAAGGAGGAAGACGAAGAAGGAAGAAGGAACTGGATTTATACCCCACCCTTCACTCGGAGTCTCAGAGCGGCTTACAATCTCCTCTCCCTCCCCCTCCCCACAGCAGACACCCTGCGAGGCTGGTGGGGCTGAGGGAGCTCTTTCGAGGACTGCTCTTGAGAGAACAGTTCCGAGAGAACTTGCGACTGACCCTAGGTCACCCAACTGGCTGCGTGTGGAGGAGTGGGGAACCAAACCCGGTTCTCCCAGATTAGAGTCCGCCGCACTTAACCGCGACACCAAAGGGTGCTCTGTGTGTCCTGACCCCCCTCTATCTGGCGACATCTATGGTGACCTCCTGAAGTCTGAGACAGGGGACAGCGCACAGTCTTTCACTTTTCTAACAGCAGATTCATGCAGGGACACCAGCCTTCTGGCCAGGCCATTTCGAAAGGGGTTTGTCCTCTTCACTCTACTCCATGGCACAGGCAGAGAACGAATATTGGTGTGACCCAGGTTCAAATCCCGCTCACCCTGATGCTCCCCCAGCCAGCGATCATCTCTGAGCTTAGTTTCAGAGGAGAGTCATGTTAATATTATTATTATCATCATCATCATCATCATCATCATCATTATCATTATTATTATCATCATCATCATCATTATTATTAATAATAATAATATTATAATAATAATAATACTTTCCATTTATTAATCGCTTTCCCCAGTGGGCTCAAAACGATGTACAGTTACTCAGTATAGACAAGGGACTAACAATGTTTGTAGGGGATAGGGAAGACAACATATATTCATTTTTAATTGCATGCACTGTCACTGCCTGGTATAGACGTCTTCTGGCTTGACTCCGTCGTTTTCCGCACGGCTGCTTGTTGACCAGGCTTCAGGACCCGTATGTCAATCGCCACACTGCCACCGCCTGGCCGGAACATCCATTGCAGGGATTCTTTCGTAGCCGAGAAGCTATTTCACCTTCCGAGCCTCGACCAGGACGTCCGATTGTCAGCTAACGCCCTCCCACAAGGGAGATTGGTGTGCCCACCCTCTCTAACGAGTGGTTCCCATTTTATCTATTCGCCGAAGCTTTCGAATCACTGGGTGGACGATGAGCTGGGGACAACAGGCTGGCTGCTCACACCAGCGCGGGACTCAAACTGACACAGTTCGGATGTTAAGACAGTGGGATATGGCCACTGTGCCACCGCTCCCCATTTGCAGTAGATGAGCTGCGTTTGAGTCCAGGAGCTCCTTAAAGACCAACAAGGTGTCCTAGAGTGTGAGCTTTCGAGAGTCAGCGTCTCCGACGAAGGGCGCTTTGACTCTTGGGAACTCGTACACTGAAAATCTGGTTGGTCCCCAAGGTGGTCCTGGATTCTAATCTAGCCGTTTCTTACTTCCTCCCTCTCTCCTGTTTGGTTGGAGCGGCTGGGGGGGGGTGGGGCTTCAGGAGCTTGGCAAATACAATCTACTTTAAAAATTCTAGATGAACTAATTCACCAGCAACCAGATCTAATTCCTCATATATCTTCTCCAAAGTTTGGGAGACCAAAAATGTCTAGAATTTGGTGTAGCGGTTAAGAGCGGTGGACTGTAATCGGGAGAACCCGGTTTGATTCTCCACACCTCCTCCACGTGCAGCCAGCTGGGTGACCTTGGGTCAGTCACAGTTCTCCCGGAGCTCTCTCAGCCCCACCTACCTCACAGGGTGTCAGTTGTGTGGCGAGGAAGGGAAAGGAGATCGTAAGCCACCCCGAGACTCCTTCAGGTAGTGAAAAGCGGGGTATGAAACCAACTCCTCTTCTTCTTGCTCGACGAGGGGCCGAAGTTTCTACAGCCGGAATGACATTTGGCGAAATTTCAAAACCTGACGAAGGTTCGCTGTCTGAAACACAGACTTCGACATCAGGATCCGCCACTGACATTTGCCAGCCCTGAGTGGTGAAACAAAGTGACATCAAACCTGCAAAACTTTATTTCCAACTCCCCTGTGAGATTTATTAGACGGTTGACAGCTCAGACTTCGACATCAGGATCTGCCACTGACATTTGCCAGCCTTGAGTGGTGAAACAAAGTGACATCAAACCTACAAAACTTTATTTCCAACTCCCCTGTGAGATTTATTAGACGGTTGACAGCTCCCTTTAAGTTCTGGCTCTTTCTGCAGGTCTCCTCTGTGGGCCCCAGCTGTGGGGGGGGGAGCTCCTCCCCAGAGGCCGACCACCTCCTGCACCCCCCCCCCCTCAGATCCAGAACTGCTTTGCGCCTGGCCGCAAAGTGTCAGCTGTGACGGACTGGTCCCGAGCATCTTAGGGCTCTTTAGCTTGGAGAAACGATGGCTGAGGGGTGACATGATCGAGGTTTATAAGATTATGCATGGGAAAGAGCAGGTAGAGAAAGAGGTACTTTTCTCCCTTTCTCACAATACAAGAACTTGTGGGCACTCCATGAAATTGCTGAGCGGTCGGGTTAGAACGGATAAAAGGAAGTCCTTCTTCACCCAAAGAGTGATTAACACTTGGAATTCACTGCCACAGGAAGTGGTGGCGGCTACAAGCATGGACGGCCTCAAAAGGGAATTAGATAAGCATATGGAGCAGAGGTCCATCTGTGGCTATTAGCCACAAGGTATAGGTAGGGGCTCTGGGGCAAGTGATGCTCTGTCATCTTGGTGCTTGGGGGAGGTCAACAGTGGGAGGGCTTCTAATGTCCAGGCCCCACTGCTGGACCTCCTGATGGCCCCTGGTATTTCTGGCCACTGTGTGACACAGAGTGTTGGACTGGATGGGCCTTTGGCCTGATCCAACATTGGCATCTCTTGTGTACTTATGTTCTTATGTTCTTATCTGATTCTGGCAAACAGTCGCAGCCGCAGAGAATATTTCGCACCCGAACTGACCGAGGGGGATATTTTCGGAGCGAATCACCTGGGCTCGGCCAAGCCCCATGTCCGGGGTGGGGGTGGTGTGCGCACGCAGCATGAAGCCGAGAAGGGAGTTCACGGCCGTTTGGTTGAGTCTTTGCTCTTCCCCTCCCTCCCCCTCTCCAGGCGAATACTGGATCGACCCCAACCAGGGCTGCTCGAGGGACTCCTTCAAGGTCTACTGTAACTTTACTGCAGGGGGCGAGACGTGCATCTTCCCCAGCCGGGAAACTCAGGAGGTGAGAGCAGAGGGAAGGGGTCTGGAATGAGGGCGGGGGCCCAAGTTGCTTCTAGACTTTCTCTCCTGGCCTTTGCCCTCCCTTCCAGTTGCAAAGCCGAGAGGCCTCTTCTTAGCTCGCATTTGTTTTCTCTCCCCCCCACACACACCCCAGGTTAAGATGTCCACATGGGACAAGGAGACCCCCCAGAGTTGGTTCAGCCAGTTCCGGAAAGGCAGCAAGGTGAGTGGTGGGGGAAGGTCTGTGGGCGCGAGCGAGCGAGCAAGGGGTCGTCCCTCTGCCCCCCCATCCGTCCCCCCCTTCTCCCAAACAGCCACCCTGGTATTGGAAATACCAAAAATCAGCAAATACCGTGCTACAGACGATTATAAAATATCTCAAATGATTTTAATATATTTTTTCGTTTTATATTTTTACAAGTTATTCACCATATATTATTTATCATATAAGCGTTAATACATAGAAAGAATCATGTATCAAAACATCTAAGTGTCTTCTCTTAATATATCACAAAATATATTGCACAACCCCTTTATTAATATCAGTCCTCCTTAATGATACAAAAGTTTTAAGAGGGAGGACTCCTTTAAGTCTATTTTGAATAAGTGCTCAGTCTTCCTCCGACAGCGGTCCGGATATCCTCCTGTTTCAGTGTCTTCCTCAGGGAGCTCAACAAATATTTCCAAGTGCAAGGTTGCCAAATACCAAAATATTTATCCACATTTTTCTTTTTTTTTAAGTACCCATAAGGTACATTTTTATTATTTTTCATATTATATACCAACAAACAAACATACTACATAACAAACATCCACTTACACACATAAAACATACAAAGAGATCAGTATATTTTCTTATAACTCTGTTACCATATTTAAAGAATTTCCATAAGTTTGCTTAAGTTTCTGTATATTATCTTTTTACCATAGTTTCTATTTAACTATAAAAGATTAATAATACCAAAAATTTCATTACTTTAAGCTATGCATTTAAATTGTACCAATCATACAGTTTTTTCCACGTCTTTTGAAATGTTGGGTCTGTTGTCCCTCTCATCAACGATCAATGAATGCTGCAGAAAGTCTCTCTTAGTGAGCTCAGAGCTTCCTCCAAAGTGACAAGCACGGTATTTGCTGATTTTTGGTATTTCCTACCTACCGTGGGTCCTATTTTGGTTCTGTGTACCCTGGTACTGGAGACATTCTGTTAAAATGGAAAGCTGTAAAATTGTCATAGAATCATAGAATGTTAGAGTTGGAAGGGACCTTGCAGGTCATCTAGTCCAACCCCCTGCACTCTGCAGGAGCAGAGCCGAAAGAGAACCCTACATACCTACAACCGACCTTAGCAGGATCTACCTGGACCCTCCCACAAAAGGGCACCCTCAAGACCCCCCCCCACGGCACTGCTGTCTGAGCTGGGGGGGCAGGATAAAGAGACAGGATGTGGGGGGGAGGAACTGTGTTCATCACTGTGAAATCCTGGGAGGAAAATAGAGGCGAGGCTGATAGAGATGCTCCCGCCTTGCCCTGGTGCTCCACCTCAGTGTTCCCCCTCAGCCGAGTGAGTGTGAGCCAGCTGACGGTTTTTTAGCCTCCGGCTCACACATTTTCGTCTCGGCTCAGGAAGGAGTGGCCCCGGAGCAAACTAATTCACGCAGCAGCCCAATCGCTCGCTCACGACTTTAATGCCAAGGTAGAATTTTTTGCTCACGAGACTCCATGGCTCAGAGGGAACGCACCTGCAGCGCTCACGCACATAAGCAGGGAGGAGGGGCACCATGTTGCAGGCAGGGGGCGGTCTCCAGGCTCTTGTAAAGAACGGAGAGGAGGGAGGAGGTCCCAGGCCCTGGGACTCTTTGACTCACTCCCTCTCCTGCCCGCAGGTGGTAGGGGGACCGTTATCACGTACGTGGGGGAGGGGGCATGTGTGCGGTGAAAGGGGTGGTGGTTTCGGGACCTAGGCAAGAGGACCTTTCAAAATGGGGACCGGAACGGTAAGACTGGGGGCGTATGTGAGCCCTCCTGGATGGGTCCATGGGGGGGCACCCAGGACAATATCCTGACTCTAAGCGGGGCCCAGCCAGATGCTTCCAGAATGCCCAAGAGGAGGGCAGTAAGATGGCAGCCTGTCCGCTGTGGTTGTGCGCTAGGGATTTAGGGGTATACTGCCCAGGGGTCATTTCCTGCCAGAGTGCTCAGGAGCGGAGCTCCGGCAGTAAAGAGCCCAGGGGGCAGGCACATGCAACAAGCCCCACCCCCTGCTCCCAGCAGCCCTCAGTCAGAGCAAGAAGCAGCCAGGTAAGCTGCAGAGCCTCCCCTCCCCCCGGCCCAAAACAGTCCAGTGGCACCTTTAAGACCAAGTTTTATTCAGGTACAAGCTCTCCCTCCTCTGTGAGTACAGATCTGCAGTCCCCCCCCCAACAACTAGCAATACAAAACAGTCCAGTGGAGCCTGAGGGGTGGGTGTTGCCTTCTGACACACTTCCAGTGATGTCAGGGGTGTGGCATATGCTAATGAGTTATGCTAATGAGCTCCTGCAGCTCTTTTTCTACGAAATGACCCCTGATACTGCCTCTAAACATGGAGGATTCATTGAGTTAGAGCCAGTGAGAGACGTCTCCTCCACATCCTGGCATAAGTGGATGCCGTCACAGCCTAGGGAAGGAAGGATGGGTTTAGCGGAGGATTTGGAGCTAACCGGAAACAGCCGGGGGGGGGGGTCCCAACAGCGAAGCCAGGCGGGGTCAGGAATCACCCAGCCCCTCCAATCCGGCTTTCCCCTCCCCAGTTCTCCTACGTGGATGCTGACGGCAACCCCCTGGGCATTGTCCAGCTGACCTTCCTGCGGCTGCTCAGCGTCTCGGCCCGGCAGAACTTCACCTACCACTGCCAGCGCTCAGTGGCGTGGCACAGCCGTGGCCCGGCCCCCGGGGGCTACCAGCACGCCCTGCGCTTCCTGGGCGCCAACGAGGAGGACATGAGCTACGACAACAGCCCCTACATCAAGGCCATGGTGGACGGCTGCGCGGTGAGTCCCGGAGAGGGGCAGGGGGAGGGATCGGCCCTGGGTCCCTGCGAGGGGTGGGGGAGCCACTCAGGGGAGCATCTGTGGGCATGCGGGGGGGGGGAGAGAAGTGGTCTAAGGTGTAAACAGGCAGCCAGGGACAGGAATTTGGGGATAGTTGGCCTGGGAGGGAGGCATCAGTTTCCCAGACTGGCCAAGGCTCCCCGAACTCAGGTCCTGGGGATCCTCTCGTGCCATAGGGTGACAGCCCCCCCCCCCGCTCCCCCAGGTCGGGCCAGGTATTCCTATCACAACTCAGAGTAACACTTTTGCCTACTGTGGCCCACCTAGAGATGTGAAGGCCCGGGGGGAAACGGAAAAATTAGGGGGGGGAAACGTTTTTCCCCCGCTTTTTTCCTGAAGCCTTTTTTTGTTTTTTCCCGAAAAATTGGAAAAATTAAAAAAAGAAAAGAAGAAAAACTGATTATGGAACGTTTTATTTTAACATGATGAATAAAATGTTTTAAGACAAGGTGTTCAAGTATTTTCCAAATCATTTCTTAAAAATATGTATGATATCAGATTGATCTAATTTCTGTGCACTGAGTACGAGCAAGTCCTAGGTTACAAACTGAACCCTCCCATGCAAGAACAAAGATGCATTTCTTCCTTTAGGAGGTGCTATTGTCAGTTTTGTTTTTGCATGTGGGTGGGTATTCTGTTTGTAATCATTGTTTGGATACACTATATTTTTAATAGGCTAGTTGTGATCATTTCATGCCGAGTAAAAATGTCCATAGTCGTATTTTATGTTCCTAAAGTAACAGAATGACTTTCAATCTGGAAAAGAAAAAAGAAGTGCCAATGTAGCATTTTTTCCCAATTTTTCCGAAAATTTCCACCCCGCCCCCAAAACGGGGAAAACCCGGGTTTTTTCCCGAGCTTCAAAATTTCTGGAAGTTTTACATCTCTTGGCCCACCACAGTCACCCCCCAGAACCCCCAACCCAGGTCCCCTCCAACATTAAAAAGCATCCTCTCCTGTCTCTCTTTCTCCCCAAACAGTTGCGGAAAGGGTCGGACAAGACCGTGCTGGAGGTGAACACGCCCCGTGTGGAACAGCTCCCCCTGCTGGACGTGCGGGTGACGGACTTTGGGGAGCCCAATCAGCGGTTCGGATTCGAAGTGGGGCCCGTGTGCTTCCTCGGCTAGAACTGAGTCCCTCGACCCACAGAGCCTCCCCCACGCACCCCGTCACCCCCCCAGTTTCCAGTGGAACAGAGTCCGTCTTCGCCCCGCCCCCACTAGCAGCGACCGAAGAGGATCCGTCTTACCTCCTCCCCTGCGTCGGCAACGGAGACCGCTGCAGTCCCCCCACCTGGCAAGCCCTGTCCCCTCCACCAGCCCTCCGGGGCCACCCGTCTCCCCCTGCTTGCTTGCACCGTTGCCATCCCTCCCTGTGCCTGGCCAGAGGTCAGGAGGGCACAGCCCCCCCTCGCCCCCCTGGAAGGTGAACCGGCCAGGTTGGTGGTTGGATCCACCCATGTTCTCACAGGGCCCCTCCTGCACTCAACACAAGCCCAGGGAGGCTCCTCAGCCCCTCTTGGCTTTGCTATCCCCCCTCCCCGTGCCCTACAGGAGAGACCGCTGCCCCACTGGTGAACTCTGCACACGAGCCCTTGGAGGGGAGGTTCTCTTGCAGTGCCTGATCCAGGCGGGTGGGGCTGAAGCCGCTACCGGAGCCCTCCCTCCATCAGGTCTTACAAGAGGGGGGGTGCTCCGCCCCTTTGAGGGGATCCTGTCTGGGGGTCCTTTTGCACAAGGTCGGCCCACGGATGGAGCCATGTGAAACCCAGCTCCCCCTCCCCACCCCGCCTTCCCCGCCCCCCTCGTGGCTTCAAAAAAGTCCTTTTGCCCGAACGTCGCTCCGCAAGCCGCCCGACACACGAAGAAAGAAAAGGGGGTTGTTTTATTTTGTTTTTATAAAGTTTTAAATTAATTATATTATTTAAAGGAGGGGGATATAAAAGAGAGGTGGGGAAAGAGACTATTTTTCATCTCCCGCTGTCCCGTTTCCGATCTTTAAAAAAGAAAAGGAGGGGGAAGAAAATGAGTTTCACGCCCAGTTTTGGTGCTCGGGAAATTAAAAAAACAAAAAAGTTTATTGCCTCACGGCTGCCTGCAAATTCAAAGTTTTTTTTTAAAAATAGTATTATTATTATTATTATTATGGGCGCCCCTCCCCTTTGGCTTTTTTGTTTTCTTAAAAAGCAGCAAAGGGCGCCCTCCGGTGCTGGAAGACAGGCAGGCCACAGCAGTGTAATGTTTTGTAAAGTGATTGTGTGGAAATTGCATTGTGTAATAGATCATCTCTAATTTTGCTGCTTTCTTTGCGTCTCTCATTCTGGCGCCTCCTTCCCGCTCACAAACTTCGAGCTGTCGCCCAGAGCTGCCTGGGCAGGGGGTGTCGCCCTCAGGTCTCTTTTCACACCCTCCGCCCCGGGAGCCCAAGTCTTTTCTACCCAAACTCGAAGGCCCAGGGGCTCTTCCCAAGCACCTGCCCCAGCAAACCTGCTTTTTGAGGTGACCGAGGGCCGTGCTTGAAGGGGGCCAGAAAGCCCCAGGCCCGTCATAAATGAGCCAAGGGTGTGTGTGGGGGAATTGCTGCCACCTTCACCCCTCTGAAGAGGATCTGGGCAGAAATGGTGGAGGTGAAGATCCAAGGGGGTGTTGGCAGGCTGCAGCCGCTGCTCTTGGATGTTGTGGCCGTTAGAACCTCAGAAAAGCCCTGCTGGGTCAGACCAGGGAGGGTCCATCTAGTCCAGCCTCCTGTCTCACACAATGGCCAACCAGTTTCTCTGGAGGGCCAACAACAGGGCAGAGAGGCCGAGGCCTTCCCCTGAGAAGAACACCAGAAGAGCCCTGCTGGATCAGACCAGGGAGGGTCCACCTAGTCCAGCCTCCCGTCTCACACAGGGGCCAGCCAGTTCCTCTGGAGGGCCAGCAACAGGGCAGAGAGGCCGAGGCCTTCCCCTGAGAAGAACACCAGAAGAGCCCTGCTGGATCAGACCAGGGAGGGTCCACCTAGTCCAGCCTCCCGTCTCACACAGGGGCCAGCCAGTTCCTCTGGAGGGCCAGCAACAGGGCAGAGAGGCCGAGGCCTTCCCCTGAGAAGAACACCAGAAGAGCCCTGCTGGATCAGACCAGGGAGGGTCCACCTAGTCCAGCCTCCCGTCTCACACAGGGGCCAGCCAGTTCCTCTGGAGGGCCAGCAACAGGGCAGAGAGGCCGAGGCCTTCCCCTGAGAAGAACACCAGAAGAGCCCTGCTGGATCAGACCAGGGAGGGTCCACCTAGTCCAGCCTCCCGTCTCACACAGGGGCCAGCCAGTTCCTCTGGAGGGCCAGCAACAGGGCAGAGAGGCCGAGGCCTTCCCCTGAGAAGAACACCAGAAGAGCCCTGCTGGATCAGACCAGGGAGGGTCCACCTAGTCCAGCCTCCCGTCTCACACAGGGGCCAGCCAGTTCCTCTGGAGGGCCAGCAACAGGGCAGAGAGGCCGAGGCCTTCCCCTGAGAAGAACACCAGAAGAGCCCTGCTGGATCAGACCAGGGAGGGTCCACCTAGTCCAGCCTCCCGTCTCACACAGGGGCCAGCCAGTTCCTCTGGAGGGCCAGCAACAGGGCACAGAGGCCGAGGCCTTCCCTTGACGTTGCCTCCTGGCTCTGGGATCCAGAGGCTTAGTGCCTCTGAATGTGGAGGTTCCCCTCAGCCACCATGGCCAGTAGCCATTGACGGACGTCTCCTCCATGAATCTATCCAATCCCCTTTGAAAGCTGCCTGTTCCTCTGGCCACCACTACATCCTCTGACAGCGAACTACAGCGAATTAAAAGCTGAAGATTCAGCCACACGAATCGCACAGCTGCCTGTCTTCCCTCCTTCCCTAGTGACAAGTGAGGCCTTTGACTTGTGAAGCAGGGTGTGTGTGTGTTTGCCACTGCCCCCCTGCATGCACCCATCCTGCACTGTCCCTCTGAAGAAAGCTCACCTCCAGCTGGGGAAACTGAGGCCTTGGCAGAGTCGCAAGGGGGGGGGCTGCTCTGGATCCCTCCCATTACCCACAACAAGTAAGGCTAAGGTGGGGCAGCAAAGCCAGCGGCAGGGGAGAGTTTGGAAGTACCAACCCCAGGGGTCATTTCCTGCGGGAGCGCACAGGAGCGGAGCTCCGGGAGTAAGGAGCCCAGGGGGTGGGCACATGCAACAAGCCCCGCCCCCTGCTCCCAGCAGCCCTCAGTCGGGCCACAAGGAGCAAGAAGCAGGCAGGTAAGTTGCAGAGCCCCCCCCGGCTGCCTTCAGGTACAAGCTCTCCCTCCTCTGTGAGGGCAGATTTGCGCATTCCCAGCCCCCCAATAGCTAGCAATCCAAAACAGTCCAGTGGCACCTTTAAGACCAAGTTTTATTCAGGTACAAGCTCTCCCTCCTCTGTGAGGGCAGATCTGCAAGTCCCCCCCACCAATAGCTAGCTATCCAAAACAGTCCAGTGGCACCTTTAAGACCAAGTCTTATTCAGGTACAAGCTCTCCCTCCTCTATGAGGACAGATCTGCACGTCCCCCCCTTCCAATAGCTAGCAATCCAAAACGGTCCAGTGGAGCCTGAATGGTGGGTGATGTCAGGGGGTGTGGCATATGCAAATGAGTTGTGCTAATGTGCGCCTGCACCGCTTTTTCTAAGAAATGACCCCTGACCAACCCCCCCATCGCCCCCCCCTGCAAGGCAAAGGATGAAAATGCCCTCCTTTCCCGCCCGTCCCCGGTAAGAGGACCATTTCTAAACTGAACTGCAAGAGACTTTTATTGCAACTGTACAAAGCAAAACAGACAAGACAGACGGAAGCCCGTCTCACAGGTGAAACGAGGCGTTGGCCAGTGTTTGTTCCCCAGCACGGGATTTGGGGGTGGACGGATGACCAGCAGCCACGGCACGGCCGCCAACGCCTGCCCCCGGTTCAGAAATTGGGCTTGTGTTTCTTCACCTCGACCATGAGGTGGTGGATGTTGATGAGCTCCGAGCGGACGGGCAGGGCCTTCAGGGGGGGCAGCGCCATGACCTTGTGGAAGCGGTGGTAGTACTGGATCAGCTGCGTCAGCGCCCCCTGCAGGGAGAGAGGGGCGGGGAGGGGGGTGAGAGATGGGGAGGGGAGAGCAAAAGAGGCTCTGGCTGCACAGGCTCACACACAAGCCCTCCAGCCCGGCCCCGCCCTCCTCCGCAAGCTCCGCCCCCGGCCTCTGCGGGCCGCCGATACCCAGGCGAGGAGCCTACCAATTGGAGGAGAACCAGAACGGAAGCAGGGGGTCGACAAAGGAGGGGAGCCAAACCCATCACTCCTGCTCCTCTCGAGCAAAGTGGGAGTCCAGAAAAAGGACTGCTTGTGGCTCAGCAGTAGAGCCTCTGCTTGGCATGCAGAAGGTCCCAGGTTCAATCCCCGGCATCTCCGGTTAAAAGGGACCAGGCGGTAGGTGATGTGAGAGAAGAAGAATCATAGAACGTTAGAGTTGGAAGGGACCTTGCAGGTCATCCAGTCCAACCCCTTGCACTCTGCAGGAGCACAGCCGAAAGAGAGCCCTACATACCTACAACATACCCGAAAGATGGCCATCCAGCCTCCGCTTGAAAATGTCCAGCGAAGGAGCACCCACCACCTCCCGAGGCAGACTGTTCCCCTGCTCAACCACTCTGACAGTTAAGAAGTCTCTCCTGATATTTAGCCGTATCGACTCCCTTGTAATTTCCACCCATTAGATTTAGTCTTGCAATCCGGAGCAAGAGAGAATAGATCTGCTCCATCGTCTACATGACAGCCCTTCAGATACTTGAAGACTGCAACCATGTCCCCTCTAAACCTTCTCTTTCCCAGGCTAAAGATACCCAACTCTTTCAGCCTTTCCTCCTATAAGACTTTGATTTCAGCCCTCTCACCATCCTGGTTGCCCTCTTCTGGACACGCTCGAGCTTGTCAACATCCTTCCTAAAGTGTGGTGCCCAAAACTGGACACACAACTCCAGGTGAGGCCTGACCAAAGCAGAATAGAGTGGAATAGAGAAGACATTGGATTTCTACCCCGCCCTTTACTCGGAGTCTCAGAGCGGCTTACAAACTCCTTTCCCTTCCCTTCCCCACAGCAAACACCCTGCGAGGTAGGTGGGCCTGAGAGGGCTCTTTCGAGGACTGCTCCCGAGAGAATTTGTGACTGACTCAGGGTCACACCAGCAGCTGCATGTGGAGGAGGCGTGGGGAATCAAACCCAGTTCTCCCATATTAGAGTCTGTGCTCTTAACCACGACACCGAACTGGCTCTCCACCTGAGACCTTGGAGAGCCCCTGCCAGTCTGAGTAGACAATACTGAACTTGACGAATCCGCGTGAGATTCAATAGCGTTTAGATTTGTGTGTATGTCCAAGCTGTGCTGGAGGAGGGGACTGGGGGGGTGAATCCCCCACCACTACCAAGAAAGCACCACTTGGCATGACAGAGTGCCAATCTGGGGGGTGATCCACCCCTCTGCCCCCTAAGGCAGGCCAAGACAAGCCTCCCCTCTTGTAGACTAGGGGAATGAGCCTCCCGGCTCATTCGCCAGCCAGCCAGG